CGTTTACGTGTGGACGAAAGGTGCAAACGCATAGAAAAATCTGCGTTTTCAAAAATACCCGGGTACGTGTGGACGTATCCTTAGTTTCAACTATGAAAAGACAACTTTGCCTTATTCTGATATCTTGGCAATGGTTTTCTTGCTTTAACTCATCTTGTCAAACCTGCAACTCAAAGAGGTTTGCCTAGGTCATGAAACGCCATCAATGGACAACTGAAGAGTGGAAGAAGGTATTATTGACAGAATCAAAATTTGAAATCTTCACTTCATCACACGGGATCTTTGTATGTTGTAAGTAGGTGAAAGGATGGTTCCACGCTGTGTGGTATCAACTGTCAAACATTGACGAGGAAGTGTGATGGTCTGGGGCTGTTTAGCTGGATCCAGTATCAGTGACTTGTAAAGAAAAGTGAGATGCACTCTGAACCAAAATGGCTTCCTCTGTCACGATTTGACTGTGCGGAGCAGGCAGGAAGGGACCCAAATGCAGACTCATAAGCAGGATATGGACTCAAAACACAGCTTTATTTGCTGAATGGAAAATAATACAACCCAAACTGGGAAATTAGAAGACCTAAACACGCAGGGAGGCACACAGCTATGAGGGAGATGCTGACATAAATACACAGGAGGATAACGAGTGCAGTGAGAACACACAGGGAACACAGCTGACACAACATGACGTCACAGAGGAAGCACAACTAGAAACACCGAACATGGAAACACAAGAGCTTCGCAATAAAACAGGAAACGCAGGAACATGATGGAGGAAAGACAGACGAGAAGAGCAAGGGAACATGAGGGAGAGAGAGGAGAGATGACGAGCCCTGGAAACATAATGGAACACAGGGAGGGAAACAAGACGCAAGGGGCTCATATAACATATATAAAAACAGACGGAGAGAGACATAGAGGGCAACTAATAATTAAGAATCTAAACAGGGAATAAAAGAAACTCACAATAGAATAACTAAGACTATAAATGAACCTTAACATAAACCATAACACAAAATATTACTAGAATACAACAAAATAAAAAATGCTGGCTCAAAAGGACCCAGAACCTTTACAACTGCAGCATTCTGCAGCACCATGCAGTTCCCTCTGGTATGTGCCTAATTGGTAAGAGGTTCATCCTACGGCAATATAATGACCCAAAACTAAATCCAAGCTATGCCAGAACTACCTCAGGAAAAAAATGACAAAACCGTAAGCTTGAAAACATGGAACGGACAGCACAGTCTCCAGTCTTAATTAGCCCCATCACGGTGGTTTAGGATGAACTGAATAAAAGAGTGAAAGCAAAGCAATCATGCATTTATGGGAACTTCTGCAACAAATATGGGAAGAATTTTCTGAAGAATATTTTATTTCTATTGCAGATAGAATGGTGTGTTAAGCTGTTATATGTACCAAAGGTGGCTACTTCGATGTGTCAAAAGATTAGAATACATTTTGGTCTGTAAATTTAGTCCATGGTTTAATTTTAATTTTAATTACTTATTTTTACTATGCTTTAATTTCAGAGTTCAATGACACATTACACTGCATAAATGAAATCATCATTAAAAAAACTGGAGAAATTGGGGTGTTCTAAAACTTTGACCGATAGTATATTACACCCAAGAAAAGATTTGGTTGAAATGCTTTCAGAATCAAAAATCTTTCTCACCTGAACAGATGACACCAGCATCTTGATTATGTACACAGTTGTTTGTTCCAAAACCACCATGTTGACACTGAGTTAATGAGCCTTCACTTCCTGAGCAGGTCACATGATCAAGCCAAATCTGTCCAGTTCCTGCACCAAAGTGAGCAGATCGAGGAACCCCCAGTGCAGACCCACAGTTTAACTGTCTACAAACAACCTCAGCATCATTTAAGTCCCAGCCATCATCACAGACTGTTCCAAAGCTGTTATTGTGATAAACTTCAACTCTGCCAGAACATCGAGTCAATCCAGATCCAGCTAATCTGATCAGATCTATTAGTTAAAAGATGTGAAGAACTTGATAATATGTTCTTGACCTTGAAACAAAATGGTTTCACTGATGACAGACAATTTCTGAATGATTTATGTGTCTTTGGTACCTAAACATTTTCTCACCTGAACAGATGACACCAGCATCCTGACCATGTCCACAGTTGTTTGTTCCAAATCCACTGTGTTGACACTCAGTTGGTGAACTTTCACCTCCTGAACAGGTCACATTATCAAGCCAAATCTGTCCAGTTCCTGCACCA